AGGCTGGCCAACATGATGAAACCCAGTATCTACTAAAAATACAAAAAAAAAAAAAAATTAGCTGGGTGTGGTAGTGGGTGTCTGTTATCCCAGCTACTTGGGAGACTAAGGCAGGAGAATCATTTGAACCCGGGAGGCAGAGATTGCAGTGAGCCAAGATCGCGCCATTGCACTCCAGCCTGGGTGACAGAGCGAGACTCTGTCTCAAAAAAAACAACAACAAAAAAGCCAATTATTTTATAATATCTCAAATTACTGTAGACTAGAAGAACCAAAAACCATTTTTTTTAACCCATGACATAGTCTTCCAGTGGAATCAAGCACAAATCTCAGTTATTGGAAGATAAATATGAGAGGAGAAATAGGGGAGCTCCTGAATTAAGAATATAAAGGTATATTTTGTTATACACTTCATCTCACATTCCAGATAGAAGAATTTCTGGGCTCATTAATGGAAACTTTGTTTATAATATAACATTAAATTACAACTGTTGGCACAATGAAATTCCATCCTTGATATTCAAATTCTTCTAGAAATTATCACATTTGATTTTTTGAAGACGACTAACATTTTAAGAGGAAAAAAACTATCATTATTAGGTTGGTATAAAATTAATTGCAGTTTTTGCCATTACTTTCAATAGCAAAAATCACAATTACTTTTGCACCAATGTTATACTTCTAAAAATTTAGACTTCTTTATTTAAATATAAACACAAACTAATTTTCCTTGTTTGTCAATATATTGAATGTGAGCTCTCCTTAGTATCAATGTTGTTAATTATAACATTGTTGTTCTAGAACTGTGGTTGCTTGAAATAATCAGGTATTTTGACTCATCAGGTAATTATTATCTGCTATTATTATGAGATACAATCTAAAATATTACTGGATTTAAAATCAGTAAGCATTTATTAGGTACCTTCTTTTCTCTACAATGTACTACAACCTGAAGGAAGGAGAGGGAACAAAATTGTGAGGAGAAAGGAGACAAGGAATAAGAGTGTTTCACACAATTTCATGGAGAGAGAAGATTTGAAACTACAATCGAATTTTATAGAGGAAACCCCAAAGCCATAAATTAAATGTTTGTTTCACAATTAAGGAAATATGTCCATTGAGGTTAAACAACATGACCACAATTGTCCAGCCAATAAGTAGTCACAGAAGTTTCCAAGAGAGAAGTGGGATTTGTGAGTGGGACTGAAGAATGATTGTTTTGGGATATGCTGAGAGCCAAGTAGTATTACTTATTATATGTCAAGCTTTATATTCTTTTACTTTTACTGTCTCTTTTACAGCATCACAACCTTTTATGTTAAATATTGTTAACTGGGCTCCAAGGAAGGGAAACAGCTTTCTCAAGTACTTATAAACATATCACAGATTCAAAGCTGCATCTACTGACTATAAATATAGCCTTCTATAGCACACTGATTTGGTCGGTAGAGCCATTACAAATTTTGAGTTTCTTTGATGTAAGAAATGGAACTACCATGTTGGAGCAAGAGTATATAAGACACCTCACTTAGCCAAAACAGAGCTTTCATGCTCTGTTTTGTATGTGAGAGAGTAGTGAGATCTACAGAGGCTACCAAATTTATTAAAAAGTTATAAATGTTCTATTTACACATAAAGTCCAGAGTGAATGTTTCATACAACAGAAGAAAGTATAATCATAAAACAAAAGGGAAGGAAAGAAAGAAGAAAGGAGGGAAGGAAGGAAAGAAGGAAGAAAGGAAGAATGAAACGAAATTAATAATATTAAAAATAAAACAAAGCCTCTCTGATGAAAAATAACTTGTATATGTCTATGTATGAATGTAACATATATTAAGATCCAAATCAACCAGAGAAGCAAAAGAATGTCGCATATTATAGCAGTAATTATCTTTATGTGTATGGATTATAGGTAATATTTTTCTTACTCAGTTTTTTTTTCCTTCAAATTTTCTACAAGGAGCTTACATTGATTTGGTAACACACAAAAAAATCAATTTACATAGAAAGAAATACATGTATGCAAACTAAATTACTGGTTGAATTTAAAATTTTGCTAAATTTTAAACTATAACATGTATATTTGGGATAAAAATTAGAACATGCTATACTGAAACAGTGTGACTATTCCATTATTTTATAATGCATTATTTTCAATTTATTATTTTTCCTAATGAGGATGAAACACAAGTTAATATTCTATCTCTTTTTGATAGACTCCATAAGAATTTGCAGCTTTCAAATATCAAATTGTATATAGGTGTATACATTCAGGTATGGATTTCAAAATTGTAGTCTGGGCTCTAGCTTTTAATGCTGATAATTATTATCTAACCAAATATGCTAACAGAATTTAAAAGAATATCTATTTTTGTTCTTTTCACATGTGGAATTTGTTACTGGTTTAATACTGAATTACTATAATTTAGATTGGCCTATATAATTTCAAACACAACATTAGGTTGATAATAAACACAAAATATAGTCTTATTGACTGATCAGTTCTGCGTTTTTAAATTTTTAGAAAGTTATTACTTATTGCCTGACTTAAGGTATTTTTCAACTTATCTGTTACATATTGATGTCATTTATTAAGGTGTATTTTCCTGTGACACTTTTTAGAAATCAATAGGATAAGTGGCATTTATTTTATGTTGTTTCTTCAAAAATGTCCTGAAATATTGATGGTATATTTTTCTTTGAAATTATTCAAAGTGTTGCAAATGAAATATCGCAAAGTTTATTTTTCTGTTAGCTGAATTAAAGCTAAATTAATTCAGTATTTTAACTGCATAGATTAATTTATCTAGAACAAGACCACAGAAAGGTTTTAAAGCCACTCTACCCATTACTTTCAAATAAGATGCTTCGCAATCACAGTTTCATTTTCAAGACACTTCAGTGATATTCTATTTGTGGTATCTCATAAGATGCGCTGAATCAAAAAAGGTTGAGTGATTGCTCATCTCTGACACCATTTTAAAGAAAATAATTTTGCCTTCAGCATTTCTAACATTGTAGTTACTTATTTGTATTGCATGTAGAAATTGCTTTGGTATTTGTCAATGAGCAACCATAGTTACATGAACCTTGAGGAAATCTCTCCAGAATTAGGAAATGGAAAGCATTCATTGATAGTAAGAAGTTTGGAGTTTCATACAAGTAATATAGCAGCATTTTTCTCACTTTAGAAATAATTCACCATGAACCTCATACTGTCAAATTATTCCCAATCATTGACTTTGCCTAATGGTAATACTCTTTTCTTTTTGACTGAATATGAATTTGCTTGGCTTACTTTAAAAATTTATAAACAGATAGATTTTTTTTAACTAACCAACTGCATCACCTAACCTCTGTAACCATACACGTTCACAATGCTTTCACATAAGATCACATTCGCAATACTTTCCTATAATCATTATTTCATGTTAAAAAACACTTGTTTTCTCAGAGCCCAGTGAGCTTCAGGCCATATCATAGTTTCCTCAAAGTCTTCAAAGAAGTTTGACTATCCTCCTTGCATAGAATCACTCTCTATGGTTTCTTCATTATGTTAATAGTGTATAAGTTATGGTTTTGCTCACTAAGTTACTCTGAGTTATGAGAAAATTCCTAGATGTTCTTCTCTGAAAATTTCTTATAAAATCTTCTTTACTGATTACAGACGTTCTCAAAACAATTGTGATAATAAATGGCTCATAACACATTTCATACAGCTCAAAATATTTAGCCCACGGCCTTCAGTAAATGAGAAAAATAGAATATGTGTAAGGCCATTCCTGATTCAGAGAAGCGAGAAAATGAAATACAAAATATAGAATTATTATGGTGAGGTATATTTTCCCTCTTTTGGATGTTTCCAGTGAGGTTTGAAAGTATAAATTTATTTAAGGAAATGAAGTAACATCTCACTTTAAGTTTTTTTCATACTCAGTAATCTAGATATATTTTATCTCCCCTGGAAAGCTTTATAAAAGTTTTAGAGAAAAAGAAAATAATATGTGAAATCTAAAGCAAGTTTATTAAATACAGCAACAAATGGGATCTAACATATTTCCCTTGCATCTGGATGGCAGAGTACATATCTCTCCAAATAGAAGACAATAGCAAAAACAAAATAATTTTTAAACTTATTAAGTTTTTGTGTTTATAATTGGACAACTTTGAAAGTAAGAGAAAAATCCACACTCAGCTGTTTTCAAAAAACATCATTGTCCTTAAGGAAATGAATATGCCAAGAAATATTGGAAATCTCCTTTCTTCCAGAGATGTGAGTTTGTGTGCTTTTCACATGAATGTTTGACAGCAATTATGGAATTAAACATTTTGAAGTGCTTTATTGCCTGCAAAGTACTTATCAGCATTGAAATATATTTTATCTATTTAACAAAATGTTGAATTGTGTATGTGGAAAACTATCAATTATTCTACAACTTTTTTTATTTATGAGTGGAACTAAGGCTTCTAATTTGCTTTAGTACCTTGTGACTTGGAAAATTAGAGCTGAATAAATCAGTTGATATAACATAGATAAAGCATTTATTTCTTTGGAATTTTAATTGCAATATCATACATTTTGAAAATCTATAGGCATAGTTTCAAACTATTTTTTTCTAGGAAGATTATTTAATATTTACCCAGTTACCATGACTTCTGCAGTCATATTTAGTCCCTTTTGAGAAGATTTTGCTCTGCATATTATATAAATGTTTGCTATTGATTCATTTCAAAGGTGAGGTTCTAGAGTAATATTCACCTACATTCCAGGTCCCCTGCGTATTTATATGACCTCAAGAATAAGAAAGAGAATAAAGATTAAAGAAAAAATAAAATAAAAGCATCAAATTTTCTAAATGCTTAGAAATATTTCTTCAGTAATTCTTTAAAATATTATTCATAAAGATACTTTTTAAGTTTTCTGCATTGTATGCTTGCTATAGGATATGCTCTGTTTCTCTAAATTCTTCTCTTCTTGATTTTGTTTTTTGTTTTTCCAGTTACTGGCTGACCAACAAAGTTCCTATCAAAAGACCCAGCACAGGTCTCCTCATGTATACACTTGCCACAAGATTCTGTGATGAAATTCACCTGTATGGATTCTGGCCATTCCCTAAGGATTTAAATGGAAAAGCGGTCAAATATCATTATTATGATGACTTAAAATATAGGTACTTTTCCAATGCAAGCCCTCACAGAATGCCATTGGAATTCAAAACATTAAATGTGCTACATAATAGAGGAGCTCTAAAACTGACAACAGGAAAGTGTGTAAAGCAATAAAGCACATTTTGAAACAAACAATATGCACTTCTTTTCTGAAGATGCTTCCGGAGATTTGAAAATAGGATCCAAAACACGGCTGGGTTTCAGCATCCACCAATTAACTGAAAGGTGAATAAAGGACGTTCATGAGAAATCGACTACCAGCTGACGAAATACCTGCAAAGTGCTCTAAAAATTAAATATTTTGACTTCAAGGGTCCTAGTAAGTGCCACTTCCACTAAGAATACAGTTTGAATGTATAATCAGTAGTGTTTACAAGATCCAACAGTGCACTCATCATTAGTTAACAAAGCAAATATGTTTATCACTGTCAGGCTGCCCACAGCAACGCCAAGCACATCAGAAGAGGAACCCCAGGAACATAACTCTGACCTTGGGAAATTAAACCATCCTTGTCAGCAGAAACCAAGATGGAAGCAGTTTGAGCAATGAAATCCATAAGATTAAACAACTCAAGTAAATGCCTTCAGTCAGGACTCTGAGTCTGATCATGAATTTTATGTTTTAATTTATGTTTTTGTTTGTCTCCTGGGATCTCTTTTGTTTTGGGTATTAGGGTGCTTAGAAATCCTTTCTGAGATACATATGAATGAGGAAAGAAACTTTAAGTAATTATTTTTAAAGTTCTTATACTTTTTAAAAGCTATCACACAAAGATTTTATTTTATTTTATTTTATTTTATTTTTTTTGAGATGGAGTCTCCCTCTGTCGCCCAGACTGGAGTGCAGTGGTGTGATCTCAGCTCACTGCAAGCTCCGCCTCCCAAGTTCACGCCTTTCTCCCGCCTCGGCCTCCTGAGTAGCTGGGACTACAGGCGCCTGCCACCACGCCCGGCTGATTTTTTGTATTTTTAGTAGAGATGGAGTTTCACTATGTTAGCCAGGATTATCTCTAGATCTCCTGACCTCGTCATCTGCCCACCTCGGCTTTCCAAAGTGCTGGGATTACAGGCGTGAGCCACTGCACCCGGCAGACTTTCTAAAAAGTTTTATTTTGCACAACTCTAAACCTGCATATTATTTTCCAGTGGTGTAGAAGGTACCAGCTAAAGTGAACCACTATGTAATATTAGGCCATTCTAAAGGAAAGATGTTCCATGTCATCAGAGATGGTAAAATAGGCAGAATAAAAAAAAAGAAAAGAAAAAAAGAAAAAAAGATCTTTGGTACCAAAGATTACGCTTGCGTTTCTACATAGCAAACCATCTTTCTTTCATGAAAATAATATATTATTAACATGAATATATTATTTTGCTATTAATGTGAAAGTTGTCTCTAAATATTTTTAAATTTCCAAACTCATGCTTTATTTTCATTTGAAATGTTTTTCACACCTTTTGCATTACATAATAATTTTGTGGAAGCATTTTGCCCTTTAGAATAAATATTAGATTGATATAGCTGAAATGTGACGTCCAGTTCTTTGATATTCCCCTTGTTATTCAAATAGAAATATGGAAATGCTTCATATATTACTGTTAAATTTCTTAGTGCAGGAATAACATTATTAATAGAGTATTGTTTTCAAAACAGAGATGATTAATTTCAAGAGGTTTAACAATGAAATTGTGTGTCAATATTTTGCATTTAAAATGAATTTAATTGACCAATATTTTCTGTAGTTAAATTTAGTCACAATATCACATGTGTTCTTCAAGAAACACATGAAATTATTAATAAAGTAATTTAAAAATTTTTAATGTATAACAGAATTGACCGGTAGGCCAGTTTTCTGGTAACTTACGATAGTGGTTTCTTTAGAAAGCAGAAGCACTGCATTCTCACTTCTACTTTGATTTCTTATTTCTTGGGGAGGCAATTTGAGGAAAGAAGAAATGCACGGGGAATATATATGTTTTGTTTCTTAGGGAAAGCAATCGGAGAAATGAATAAAAAGCATGAAGTGTGTGTGTGTGTGTGTTACCATGGAAAAGGATATTCACAGTAGTACAGTTCTCAATATTTTTAATGAGATGCCATCTTTTAAAAATATAGTAAAACCTTGGGATATAGAATGTTACATCTTTTGAGAATGTATGTGTCTCTAAGTAAGTGAAATCTAATGCGTATAGGAGGCTGATAGCTAAAAATGAATGGAACATTAATGTACTTTTATAATTAAACCTCTTATCTATTGGAAATTGTAAGAGAATAGATACATGTTTTGAATGTAAAGTTGAAAAGTCTGGTTTACTTAACAAATTGAAAGTGATTTACAAAATCTAAATTTGGACTACTTGCAAATGATAAACTGTTCAAGTAGCCTTTAATTTAAATCCAACAGAAATCTAGAAGTCACAAGCAAATATCTTATAGGTAAAATCCATCTGGGCACTTAAAGTATGTCTTTAAAAAGCAGCAGCAATGTACCTTGCCATTTTCAGCATATTTTCTTCCTTTTTTCTTTCTTTCTTTCTTTCTTTTTTTTTTTGGAAATGGAGTCTCACTCTGTCACACAGGCTAGAGTGCAGTGATGCCATCTCAGCTCACTGCAGCGTCCACCTCCCAGGTTCAAGTGATTCTTGTGCCTCAGCCTCGTGAGTAGCTGGGATTACAGGCGCCCATAACCACACTTGGCTAATTTTCTATAGTAGAGACGAAGTTTCACCATGTTGGCCAGGCTGGTCTTGAACTCCTGACTGCAAGTGATCCACCCACCTCAGCCTCCCAAAGTGCTGGGATTACAGGTGTGAGCACTGCAGCTGGATCATTTTTAGTATATTTTCAATAAATATATTTAAACAATGTTAAGGCCACAGCACACATATCTCAGCCATTAATTGTTCTGTGCATTGATGTTTATCTCATAGATGCATTGAGTAGTGCCTTTTTAGCTTTTTCACATTGCTTTGTTACTACTGTATCCTTTGTGTTCCCTAAATACATTGCCCACTTCCAAAAATGTTCAGCATGAAAAAAAGGGCTTCAGTATCAACTGAGACTACTTTTGTTCATCTCAGGGAACTTTCAATAGTCAAGAATGAATTCAGTTAAAAGTACTTAGGGTTCAAAGAAGACAAACCGTACAAGCCCATTTCATTCCTTGTTGTATACCTTTCCATCTGCCCTCCCGCTTTCACTGTCTACTGTGGCGTTTTTATAGGAACAGAGCAAGATCAATGAAGGCTAATGGCAAGAATAAGAAAACGAGTTGAGATTTAACCAATAGCAGAGCATAAAGGATCATAACAAAATCAAATTATAAAAGCATACTTGAAATAAGTGGAGTTTTTTTTACTTTGAAAATATCATATATTCACAATTTTAATATTTTAATTTATTTTTTACTATTTAACCCTTTACCTGGCAATGCTCAGGCAGCTGATTGTGAAATACTCCTGTCCTTTACAGAACATGGTTGTTATTGTGCTGTTGACATGAATAGACCATGGAAACATTTTCATCATTATTACTCAGCCTGTGCTGTAATTAATGTTAAGTTGCTGAAATAAAAAGTGAGCAAGTAATAGATTTTCTGGGCAAATCTAATGATTCAGCCCACAGGACTGATGAAACTACTGCGGAAGTTTTTCTATCTGAAAGAAGGTGCTGGGCATTCAAATGTCTTCATGTATTGTATATCATATGAATTGTATATCAATTACTAATGGGAATTTCTACATATATGCTTACAAAAGCAATTTATTTAAGTAATGCTAGGGGTAGTGTACATACCAATTAGTTATTCAGCTACTATACAGAAAAAGGATGAACAAATTAATTTATTTCTAATTGAGTCAGTTAGACATAATGCATATAACGTGATACTTGGTTCATAAAAGAGTTGTTTTCATGTGGTTTTTGTAGGGAGTATATGTAATTGTGGAAGGGGTATGGGAAGAGTTGTGTATAGTTAGTTGTTATCTCTACAAGTTTGAAAGTTTTCCCATCAAACATTATCAATATCCCAACGTTTTAAAAATTGAGTGAGGGTTATCATTTGTATTTGATGAAAGAAAATCCAAATAAAACCCACCTAGAAATAGATATTTTATTATATATGTGCTATAGATATAACTATATAGTACAAATAGACATGTGTGATGCATATATACAATGTTATATATGTGTATATGTGTTTATACACACTGAGTCTGTAATATGTACACACTAGATTTGTGTTATGCTAACATCTTCAGGGTCTGCACTGTGAACTACCCTGGAGATAAGTAAGGCCACTTTAGAATAAAGAAGTTCTTTTGAGACTTCAGTTACTAACCTGCTTTAAGAGGTACCTACTTTATAACTGAATTCTATGTCGTTCATATGTAGAGTTACAGTAAGGGTCTAGTATGTCCAAATCTTAAAAATAATAATAAAGAAGAAAAGTAAAGCCTTCAAGCTAGCAATGTATTCGAATTACAGTTTTCAGACTGTGGCTCTAGGCCTTGTGTTTTTCATTTAAGTAGCACCTTTTAATAAAAACCGTTTCTTTGTGTAGGCAAAAGCACAAGTGTTTCAAATGTAAATAGCAGGAAAAAAAAGAGTTTACAGAGATAGCATTGCTGCACACAATAATTGCTACTGAGTATTTCTTATAGAATTTGTGGAATTGAAAGATGAGGTTTATTCTGTCAAGTTCATTCTGTTCAACACTGTTTTCTTATTGTTTGTGTATAGCAACCGGGTGTTATTGTTTTATCATTTGTAAAATTGTAAAATAAATTAAATCCCTTTTTTTCCACTGCTTTTCTTATCTCATATATCCAAGCCCTTGGTTATACTTTGTACGTTAATGTTAAGTGATCATTTTTAACAAGCTTTGGTTAGTGCTTTGATTTTCCACTCTCCTTAGCCCTAGTGGTTGGCAATTAGGCAAACCATTTATTTGTAAGTGTATACATGGGAATATGAGCAATGTCAAAAACTCCATGACTATTAGGAAATCCTTAACAATATTTTGTGTAGTACGTTTGTTTGTGGTTGAGGGAATAAAGTATTTCACAAGTGACAGTCATTTATATCCAATTCACACTCCCACTGACTAATGTTAGTGAGTTATTTTAGCTACAATGGGTTTGTACACACTGCACATTCTATGACAGATTTTTGATTTAGTATTTCGACTGCTATTTGATCCACTTAATATTGTTTGCAATTTGCCTTCCAGGAGATGATTCCGAAAAACTACATGCTTAAATCTTCTTCCATGGCTTTCTATAACTTGCAAGTCTGTTTTCAGACTCTGTATTGATTTCCGCAGAAACATTTAAGAGAAATTTTAAGAAGCCACTGTAGCATTCTGCAATTTTGAAACATTTACTGGAGACCAGTAATGAAGCACTGACAATAATTAATACATATAGATGTTATTTATATTTGTGTTATTACCTTGTTTTTCAAAGATTCATATACAATGGGTTATTCTTAGCTACTTTGGGGGGTATAATCAGACCTCATCATGTGGAACTCCATTTTTGATGTTATGGAAGAGCTTTCAGGATTGTAGTACGAGTTTTGATGCCTGAAGCAATTTTCTAAAAGGCAGTATTTACAAATAATTTATTCCTACTCTCAAATATTATTTTTAAATGCTTATGATTTAAAAATAGGTTTAGGTATGGTTTTGCCTGAAATGGTGGATGATTTGCTATAATCCCTCTCTTTAGACTTATTATTTTATATTACAGCCCAGGCCTTTTCAAAATGTATTCTGAGAA